GATTCTCCTGCGTCGTGCATAATGACCGCGAGTGGATGCTGACTCACCGTGGACGGTCAACTTGGCGAATGTTCCTCTCATATGGCTCTGTGAAGAGATTGGTGTGATGGAAACATCAGCATTTGTAGGAATACGACTAAATACGGGAGGTCATCAGGGCCCGGACAGCTGCAAGCAGTCGACCGACCCAACCGATACACAAAGGCCAACGACTCCTCAAAAAACGGCTATTGCTTGACACAATATCCGTTCTTGGTTCAAGATCGATTAACACCTTTGGTTACCAATCAACTGTTTTGCTCGTACACCAACATGCAAAGCCTTATTATTAAGTTGGTCGAACCCCGTCATCATCAGACTTTAGAGCCTCGAGATATAATAATGATAAACGAAACTTGACTGAGCTGTGAGATTATGGACGTTGAGATCACTCAACCCTGTAGGTCGCTTCTCCGAAACGACAGAACGGATAAGAATGGGGGAGTGATCATGTCGTGCAAAACAAACCTTCGCTGTGAACCCACAGACGATCCATGAAAATGTGTCCCTGATCTCCCTTGGTGCAGTCTATGGTTGAAGGACGATGGCAAATGCCTTGTGCCCGTACTTTACCGACCGCCCAATTCCACTTCGGAAATGGACCACAGACAGAATATTGTGATAAATCGGAAATGCAGTCAAGTCGTCGTTACAGGAGATCTTAACGCCAATAATCTGGAAACTCTGCAACGAAGAGTGAACAGCTCAAAGCATATCTGCAGGAGCTACTCTCTAACACACCCACATACAATGTCGTCACTGCTCCCACCAGGTTCGGAACTACGAATAAGCCGTTGATGTTAGACCTAGTACTCACCAGTGAGGAGGTCATTGTTGATGGTCAAGGTGTATGCAGTCCTTTGGGTCGAAGCGACCTAGTGACTTTACTGTTCGATTACCTTTGCTTCGCTGAATATCCCGATGCAGAGCCCAAAAGGACACACCTAAATGCCGCTTACTGTCCGTATTCGCTGAAAACGCTTGTTCGATACTCATGAATAAATGCGTCCCAGGGATAGCATAGGAAACATGCTTAAAATTCCTCACCTTACAAGTCAGATGCATAAACTTTCCTTTCGTCTCCTCTAACCAAAATCTTTTTTTAGAAGCCGAACAAGAAAACACATGAATCGGATATGGCGCGTTTATAAAACAATCCAAGCGCAAATAGCTGGACAGCGCACGTAGCTCCACGTCACTACTGTGTATAGTCGATTCGTGAGGACAAGTTAACAAACTGGCAGAAGCTGGCGAAACGATTCTGTTCGAACTACAAGCTTCTTTACAAACACGTAGATAGATTCCTTAAAGTGCAGCGTGGAATACCACCACACAATATAGGTGGTGGTTATATACATACAGCAAGAGGCGGCCGATGCCTTATAACTTCAGTACTCACCTACTTTTAGATGCGTACAAAGCTCGAGCGTTGTTTTTGTTTCTAGCACTCTACTATCAGGTATAATCGGCGTCAGTCAGTGCAGAAACGATGTTTAAAAAGGTGCTATCCTTGAGTACGTACAGCTCTCCTGGAGTGGACAACCTTCACAACAAAAACGGTAGGTAGTAGCCTTGCACTTAGCCGAACCACTTGCTGGATTATTTTAGTGCTGTCTAGACGAGAATATGGTACTGTCAAAATGGAAACGAAGTGTTTTTACCTATATTTGCAAAGTAGAAGCTCGATCTGTGCTTATTACCGCCCGGTAGCGCTTCTCCCTGCTCTCCAAGATCATGAAAGCGATCATTGCGAACGTACTGATGGCCTACTTGGAATGCTACAGTTATCGTGCCGGAACAGCGCGGGCTGCATCAACCTCGATCATGTGTCACGAAGCTACTGATAGTACGCGATAATTGAACCTAAGAAGTGGAAGAGTGGACAGGAACCGATGCCATCTACTTGGATTTTTCAAAAGCGTTCCATCAATTAGCTCATCTTACCCTGCTTCACAAACTTTTGCACTGTGGCATTAGAGACCCAGTGAGTGAACAGATCCTTTATTCTCACCGCGAACAGCAGTTGGAGATTAAAGTCTGGACAGCTTTATCTGGCCCGAATCGTATGGAATGGGGTGCACCACAGGGTTCAGTACTTGGGTCTCACCTTTTGCTAGTCTTCGGTAACGAAGTAATAGGAGTGATTAGCTCACACTTGTTACTCTTCGTGGACAACTATAAGGTTTCGCTGGTGACCAAGGAATTGCAAGACATCTTGACCCCCCAGTGTGACCTCATTGAAGCTTGGAATTGGTCTGTGATGACATCGCTACCATTTAATGTGGACAAGTGTTACGTTTCCACATCCGTCATCGATAAGCCTACATCTAAAGGCTTGATGCACGATCCGATGACCACTTCTAAGGAACCTGACCTCGGTATGCTGGTACAAGACGAGCTCGGTTATTCCAGATAGTCAGTGTCCGCTTCAAAACGGAGTAACTGTCATGTTGATCTGTTGAGACGAGCACTCACAACTTTGGATTCATGCATCGTCTCTCTGATGTTCGACGGCTACTTGCATTCTCACGTCGAATACGCTATTCGGCTTGGCAGCGTTGCCTAAAGTGTGACCTCACAGTGCTCGAGCCCCCCACTCCAACGTCGGGCGACAAAATCGTCAAGGTTTTGCGCCAACTTCCGTGCCAGGAACGACTGAAAAACTCTGAGTGTACAGTGGACATTAGTGGTTATACTATAGGGAGTTCATATTAGTATACCAAATACTGAAGGATCTCAGTCACGTATATCACCACCTTCTGGAACTCAGATCGAACACCAACCTGGAAGACCTGAAACTGAGTCAACAATACAGTCGTACAGATTGTCGACGAATTTACTTTTCTCTGCGGGGCTGCTAAGCCTAGGACGCCCTTCCTTACACAGTTGTCTGTGCCCCCACCTTAGCCATTTTCAAAACAACGATCACTTATCCCCTTGTGCTCCTTACATGTTAACTGAACGTGAATTTTGGGGTAGATTCAGGCTAACTAGCTTTTTTGGAAGTACCACGCACCATGCCGCGCGTAAACCTGTTCAGTTGAGTGGGTAATCTAATCGTTATTTGCAGCAAGCTCTAATCATAACAACCTGTTATTCCGCTTTGCATTATACAACCTCACTCGCACAACACTCTATTTGCCATTCATTAGTCTATCGATTTATCGAGGCATATTTCTTTTGGTGCACTTATTCAGAATTCGAATTTGCAATTCCTCGCATTGCAACCTAAGGTCACGTTATGCGTACACTTTTCATCCGTCAAAAACCACTGTTCCGTTTCCCGATTGAGATTGAACGGCAGCTTGAACGGCGCCTAAGGGTGACAAACAGTGAGCAATCGAGAATTGCTGCTCCAACAGATTTCGCGGTAGTGTGTAGTGTCCAAAGACAATGCACTGCCCGTGTTTTTGTCGTTTCTAAAGTACTTCAAAAGAGTAACCTTTTAAGACCATTACGTTTTTTGGGTGGTAGTGGCGAACGATTAACAAGCGATGAGACGGTAACACAAAACGGCTTCCTGATTGGTCAGCTCGGAAGATACCATCATCCACCACAGAAAAGTGAAACGATTAGCTCTTTTAAAATAGTAGGCTCGGATAACACGCACTGTGGTTCGCTGATCACAGAGCCACGGTCTCGGCGTCTACCTGCAGGTGGGTCACGTCTGGTCGAAATATCCTGACACGACATCAAAATGAGGTAACCAATTGGCCTCTGATGGATAGCATGCTGGAATGCAAACACCATTTCCTTTGGTCATCCATGCATCACTTATTCACTCTTCTCGAACGAACATTTCCTTTGCTTGCTTAGGTGCTATTTGTGAGACCGCTTTGACCCCCATTCAAAGCGGACTTGATCGCGCTGTTAGACCATGTTCCGGGCATGCTCAGTGCCGCGTCTTCTTTCATCTCGACTCCGGACTTGTGTTCACTTCCCCTTGCTTCTCGGCTCCAGACTTGTGATTTTGACTATTTCGTGAACTATCACCTGCTCCCACACCATTGTCCAATGCTAGCGCGCTTGGACACATTGCACACTTGGACGAGCGGATGGCTGGGATCCGTGTAGCGATATCTCAACTACCACCCATTTGCGTTTGGCCAAACGGGTGTTTCGTAACATACGTGACATGTTTCAGTGTAATCACTAATCGCTGGGATTAACCAGTAAAAGATAACCAATTATCACTAAACCACTCCCTTTTTCTTTTATTTATTGCTGCACAGTAGCTGTAGTGTTTCCCACCTCCAACTAACGTGTAGAATAATGATGATGAGACCCCTCCCAAAGTGCGATTGCTCATAGTGTATACTCGTTACTTATGCTATTAGCTGATTTAGAATTGGTCACTCCGAACAGTATGCATCTGCATGCATGTGCACAGCCTTGGATGCCTTCTGATTTCCTTACGAACTAAGCTGAGTATAGTTACGGAAGAATACGATTTCTTTATGGAGGAGTTTGGTTTCATTATGGATATAATCGCTGCCGAAATGTTATAGACTTCATGTATCGACTAATAGTGGCGTTTTCCCATCCCATTGAGCTATGTAAACTTGGTATGGGCATGGCATCTCTGTGTCGGCTTACTGTGTGCATGGCGCTGTCTGCTGGCGTCTTGCATTTAGCACTCACTTTTAAGAAAGCCTAGAAAAACGTTTGGTCCTCAGCGTTTGGATTGCTAAAAGCGATCGCGTAATCATGGCTTGTGAGACGAAGGCGGTTAGTAAGGTCTGTGAGAGTCTGGTTATTGATTGTTATGCTGGTTATAAGTTGCATCCACAGGTCTATCGAACTACGGTTATGATATTAAAGTATCAGCAAGCAAATCTATCTTTGTTCGTTAATAACCTGTCGCGCGGAAACTGTGCATCATGCTGCGAGGTTTTGTCCCTTATGCTCCCTAAGATTTCCTTAATACTTACGGACCAGCCTGTTTTATTTCCTACACCTAGGATAGACTGGGCCTGAAGGAGTTGGAGAAATCAAACCGATTACACCTGCTACAAGTGGACGACGATCACCTCCGCTTTACCAGGGAATGGTTTATGAAGATTATTCAACAATTTCTGATGGACTCACCATAATCCTTCACAACCAGCTGATTGCAACCTTAACATGCATTGAATTTGTACACTTTAATTAGTGTTGCGGAACTATATCGCGTTGGCTATCTGTTATCTTATCAATTATAATTCCGGTATGCTGACCTAGAATTATAACACGACATTTTTGCTGTGTTTGTCCACTGGTTGTTCTAACGTGTCGATTCGTTAACCTCATTAGCTTTTCAGAGTTGTTGTTTTCGCTTTCCGATAACAGCACTACTCTGACGCTATTACTAGCACTTCCTTTTGTGTGCACCTGATTGGTTCCTTGTTTGTTCACTCCTAATTGGCTCTGCTTGTCCGCATGCTTATAGCAATCTGATTGGTCCTAAAGTTTGTGCGTCTCTCTATATTATGAAGCCGTTCACCTGTGTAGAAAAACCCTGGATCTTGTTCTTGCTCGTTGACGTTCGCATTACCGTTAGTGAGTAAAAGCGGTCGCGGGGCTTGACACAACGCTATCGTTCAACCTACTAGATAAGTGAAATTTGTGGGAAACACATCACCTTTATACACTGGAACCGGACTGCGCATTCTTTGGGCGCTCAGAGGCAGCTGCTTCATTTGGTCTAAAGAGCTCACTATGCGCCTCTTCTCTCCCACCATAAGACAAATGCACGAGTACGGATCACCCGCCTTTTGTCCGCTCACTCGTAGCGAGGTGCAAACACTGGAATGTGTTCAGCAAGTATCTATCAGACTCATCCCCAAGTTACGGGTATGTCATACGCGAACCGTTGCAGAGGACTAGGGCTGTACACCGTGTCGCCTCATCGCTTTCGAGTGAATCTCGTAATGACGTACCGGATATTGCATCTATGCCACTTGTCCATATTGTGGCCACTGCTGCGCGTGCGCACATCAAGCACTACTCGCGGACACCGCTACAAGCTTGTGGTACCGGACCTAAAGCGGATGGCTCACACTCTTTGTTTCGCGCGGCAAGTGGTGAAGTATTGGACCAGTTTGTCCGCGAACTCTGTTGAAGCGAAATCAGTGTCGGAATTCAAGCAACTCCTAGATACCCATTTTGCGGCTCTCAGGGTTAGGGAGCGCATCGCACCCGAATACTCTATGGGGCAGGTGTAATATGCTGTAAACACACAGGAATCGGTGACGTAATACCGCGCACGTTATCGCTCCAGCTATACTGGAACAGCACAGTTCAATCTACCAGATCTTTACTCCCGGTATCCAGTATTCTGTGCTCTCTAATTCGTGCCAAGCTCTTGGTGCGGAACTTTCGTTTGTTTCCATAGCAAACGTGACGATCAACGATTGCCAGAAGAAAAACTACCTTGTAAACACAGAGATATGTCTTTCGTAAAGACTCTGTATACGGAGATTTATGAGTTATTCGTACTGAAGCACCCACGTGTTCCACACCCAGTGTAAACCCGAAAAGATGGAGATGGTATGCACACCATTGGGACCACGATTATTTCTGGAGGGCCTACTATTTTCCAGCATGTATTTCACACATCAATGAAGGACCCACCAATTATAGATGCGGTCTTATCATGGGGTTACACCTGCGTTTCATGAACGTTTGTTTCACCTATGATTAGTGCTGTCTGTCCCTTAAAGTAGCAACACGGTTAGGATAATGCTCTCCATATACACAAGGCGTTGACTGAACTCAGCCTATTCTCTGGTGAAACCACTCGTTGAGCTTAGCGCTACCGCGAGGACCACGCACGACATCGCCAAAGCAACCATTATTTGCATCGCAATACCTTGTTAACTTTATCCCCATCTACCACTCAAGAATAGAAATCCGGCACGCGATAACTCACTTGCTAATGCTTATTTTCAAACCGTTGTGGGTACCCCCTATTTTACAAACCTCAGCTCCTTCAGTTTCAGTTCTAGCCTTCCGCCAGGATACTAGTCTGTACTTCACTTGCCATACGGGATAACGCTCAACTCACTTGCTCGTTGTCATATGCCTAATACAGCGTATAGCCAAACTTTATTCCGCATCCGCAAACATTGTTTACCATAACCACTAGCGTGAGCTGAGTCTGAACAACTGCATCGGGTGTTCCAGTCGGATCGTTTATGCCATGTTGGCGTATTTTCGGCCAATGTCCGCGGTCCATGGTTTCATACCGGCGTTTACAGCGTCCAGAAATCGCCCTTACCGAAACCAGCAATGATTGTGTTCATTGATGGTGGCATCACAATGAATCGGATTTAAATGTCCCATGATTTCCCTTTAAGCATTCAAACGACGCAAGGAGATTGGACTTTGTCGTGGTGTGATGGTTAGCGTACCTCGTCGACCCATTGAACTATAGTGAGTAGGACCCTCGCGCCCCTTATGACGTAGTCCAACCAGGTTGGTCAATGGTTAGAGGTTAGACGAACTCAGTCTCATGGCCATCCAGGTTGAAGGTTTGAAATGGGATGGCGTCCATTTCCGTAAAACCGAATCGCTGCCACATCCGCTGCACTGCGGACAGGCTTTTGCACCAAAGGCTTTGCTTGAGAACCCAATCGTCCTCCTGTCTAGGCCCTGGCAGTATCTCAACCCACATATAACCGGGAAAATTTCCCAAAACTCTAACTACGTCCAGAATCGGCCGCCGCGTAGCTTATCAAGGGTCGCCTTATCTGCTGCATACAGCAGGGTGGCTAAGCGAAAACGTGTTACGGCTTGCGCCTCCCTTCGTTCTTTACTGTTTTTCTTACCCCATCCCAGTCTTGCTTACTAACCTTCCTCCCATAACGCCGTTTATTTGACAGCAACAACAATCTCACTATACCATTTACAGGCAACTTCATGCCTAGTGCTAATAAGTTCGCTTGTTAAAGCATCAAAATAATTTGTCGTTCATTCAAGTTCACGTGGGCATCAATTCATTCTCTCCCTGAAGGGTAACATGTACACACTATCAGTGACACTTTCATTGGTCATGGAACAGTAGTCAATGGGCCTCCCTGGATGTAAGCACAGGGCTAGATGTATGCGTCTATGTAGGACAGGTATGCTCTGGAGTAGCTTGTCAGATTGGTGTTACCGGAAGGCAGACAAAGATGAGCGCGTCAGTGCTAGTGGTCGCCAACAGTAGGTCTGACTGTAGCTCGTTAACCTAGGATGTGGTGTTTGAACGTTCTCCCTCAGCAGCTCTTTAACAGAGCTTTTGTCGGTAAGTTACCATCGGTTCGTATGCTGCCCTGGCCGGTAGCCGGTGACCCTGTGCCAAATTTTCAGCGCTTATCCGAGCAGACCATGACGTATCGTGTGCACAATATGTGATCTGTCCAAGGTGCACAGTATCAGTGTCACATTTAGGCTCCAGGTTAGTATTACCAGCTGGAAACAATATACCGCGTAAGGATAATAATAATACCAACAATACTATAATAATAATAGTGATAATGGGCATATTTCTCATTAAGTGAAAACCTGTAAAGATGCTTGGCACCAAACATACGTGCAGAGGTGATGTTATGCTCTTGCAAGAGCAATACCAAGTTATCTCCTTGTAGTTATCTGCATTCCTGGCAAGATATTTGCACCGTATGTTTGTCTTATGCGATGGTAGCAGACAAATTTGCAGTTTGAGTATGTTATAGACACTGAGGACTAATTACCCTACGTGATGTGGTGGTAGTACACCAATTAGAAGTTGTCTGAGCTTTCAATGAATGGATGTTCAAATGGTCCTTCCCACGAAAAAACGACATAATGATGTCCAGGTAGAGGTAGCTTCCAAACTTACTGCGAAAGGATTGCACAGTCTCACACAACCTGATGGTGAATAGCAGCCGATTCCATAGAGAAGCATATATGGTGAGAAGAAAGTTAAACCGCAAATTTGTCCTGCATCGTGATATAATCAGGGTAATGTCTTTGTTACCTAGGTCTCGAGTGTAATTCTGCTTCAATGTTAAGGTGAATCGATTGAAATGGGTATTGCCATGAATCAGATTGTGCAGCAGTCTCCAGTTTTCTTTTAGTTTTCGCAGCCAAAGCGGATCGAGTTGGAGTTGCTGGCATCGCTTCCGAGAGTTTATGCCAAAATGTTTTCCCAATACGTGCTTAGTAAATGACCGTTGAAGGCTTTCTATCGATGTTCTGTCTGATTTCCTCATATTGCCTCTGATTATGTTGCGCTACTCCAGGAGGGGACAAGTAAGGATTTTCAATAATTCAACTGTATCTGTAATCGTATGCGTGTTATGAGAGATGTTAGCGAAGGATTGTCTGGCTCCTGCTAGCTGGTACTCAATCTGTTCTAAGAACCTCAAGGTACGAAAATATTTGATTCCAACGTAACGGGTAGACCGTCGTACAAAGATGCGTTCGCTGTTACGTGTGTGTTATAATTGAGTCGCCACTGTTATGATTGAGGGAACGCCGCCTCTTGAGATAATTGCGTAATTGCCTGATAAGAGGGTCGCTGGCGCGCCCACGATAATTGCTTGCTACGCTGACCACTCGAACGGAATTGCGCTGTCCTGATGACGCTGGCTTAGCCAGTGAGGCGGATAATTGAGCGAGCTGGCTAACGATCCTAGCCGCACGTGTTCGGATAGACGCCGAGCCTCGGACGGACGCAGACGAGAGGGGGGTTTACGATAGACGCGCTCTAATGGCTTAGACGCGAAGGCTGGCCAGCTAACGATGCACACGCAATCACGCGATCCGACCGACTCCCAAGTGAGGCGAAGAGAAAGAAAAGACAAGTGGTCCTCTGTAGGCTCTTTTACGACCGACAAAGGGCAATCACAGAGAGTGCTATGGGTTATTAAGTTAAGGGAAACTGTCACCACGAAGAGGTGGTAGTTTGGAAATGACCATTGTCAGAAGGTGCGCAGTTTGGGTCGCGTCTCGGAGTGGCTGAGCTCTGCTGCGTTATGGGGAGGAATTGGCCCTCGCTTTCCACAGCCATTCTGCTGGGGTTTCTGGCGCGTTTTTGCGGGAATATTTGACGTGCCCGCAACAGTGTGATAGATACTTCGGTTCTCAA